ATCAGAACCAGTTTAATCTGGAACCCATCAGAACCAGTTTAATCTGGAACCCATCAGAACTAGTTTAATTTGGAAACAATCAGAACCAGTATAAAGCTGTCAGTTTAATCTGGAACCCGTCAGAACCAGTTTAATCTGGAACCCATCAGAACCAGTTTAATCTGGAACCAGTTAGAACCAGTTTAATCTGGAACCCATCAGAACCGGTTTAATCTGGAACCCATCAGAACCAGTTTAATCTGGAACCAGTTTAATCTGGAACCCATTAGCCAGTTTAATCTGGACCCAATTAGAACCAGTTTAATCTGGAACCCATCAGAACCAGTTTAATCTGAAACCCATCAGAACTGGTGTAGAACCAGTACAAGCTGGTTTGAAACTGGTTTGTGGAAGGTGTGAACAGTCTGGACCTGCTTTGCTCAGCAGGAGATGTTTTCTCTGATTCTTTCCTCAGACGAGTTCAGGTTGGGCTGCTGGTTCTGCCTTGGTTGGTTCTGGAGGTTCTGCCTTGGTTGGTTCTGGAGGTTCTGCATTGGTTTGTTCTGGAGGTTCTGCCTTGGTTGGTTCTGGACTCTGTCTTGGTTGGTTCTGGACTCTGTCTTGGTTGGTTCTGGACTCTGTCTTGGTTTGTTCTGGAGGTTCTGCCTTGTTTGGTTCTGGACTCTGCCTTGGTTGGTACTGGACTCTGCCTTGGTTGGTACTGGACTCTGCCTTGGTTGGTTCTGGACTCTGCCTTGGTTGGTTCTGGACTCTGTCTTGGATGGTTTTGGACTCTGCCTCGCCTGGTTCTGGACTCTGTCTTGGTTGGTTCTGGACTCTGCCTCGCCTGGTTCTGGACTCTGCCTTGGTTGGTTCTGGACTCTGTCTTGGTTGGTTCTGGACTCTGCCTTGGTTGGTTCTGGAGGTTCTGTCTTGGTTGGTTCTGGACTCTGCCTTGGTTGGTTCTGGAGGTTCTGTCTTGGTTGGTTCTGGACTCTGCCTCGCCTGGTTCTGGACTCTGCCTCGCCTGGTTCTGGACTCTGCCTCACCCTGACAGGACCGTAGGGACTCAGGATGTCCTGTGACCCGGCCCATGTTTAGACTGGTACTTGTGAGCAGAGCTGGGTGTTTCTGTGCACACGAGGAACTGATGGTGAACCGTATCTCTGCAGGAAGTCTCCGGCAGCACCGGCTCACTTCTGTGTTCACACCAGGTTTAGGTTTGTTGTTCAGGATTCAGGATGTTGGACGTTTTGTTGTAATTTTGAGAGATCCTATGTTCATAATGTTGATGTTCTTTAAGGTTCTGTTTCCTTTGACAAAGTCGAGCCTCTTCAGCAGCAAGACTAAACAATAAAAGCTTTTTCTGCCACCCTGTGTTCACACTGATCTGTGTTTGTGTTTGTCAGAGAAGCTGCTTCGCTCCAAATGTTCTCATCCTGACAGGGACCAGAGAACCAGCCAGAAAACCTCTGAAGGTCCAGCTGACAGCTGCTGCCACATGTTGAACCAGATGTTAGTGGGCTGTGGGGCTAACATGGACCCTGTGTGGATCAGAGGACATTCACAATAAAAATAAACTTGTTTAAAAATCATTTCATGTTGTAGCATCATTCCTTCCTGAGGGAAAACACGCTGGAGATAAACCCTTAACATTGATCTGATGTTCAATCGTGAAGAGGGGAACTGTCCTGGTGAACAAACTGCACAGGTCAAAGGTCACAGGAAGTAATCAGAGCTGAAGCTTTTCACAAAACGATTCTCCTCATGATCTCTTCAGTAAGAATAAACTTAATATTTAAACAAGACAACACAGAGCAGTACTTCGTAAAATCATAAAGAAAAAAATAAACTAGAAGAAAAGATGAGATGAGGTAAAAAACAACCATTTGTTTCATAGATGCTGTTTCTGTTGTAATAAATAAATGCAGTTTTGTGTTAATCCACTGAAATTGAAAATGGTTTTATGATTAATTTACAGCCAGTTCAAACTGATTCTGTTTGGTTCAGGAATAAAGTAGGAATATTATAAAGTAAAAAAACTGCAGGTTACTTTGATTTTTCAATTTATTGTTCTGAATATTTAGTGATAATGTTTTATATGGCTCCAGCCGTTTGTATAGTTTTATCTGTCCATCGATAAATTATTACTTAGGTGTGTAAAAAATATTACAACCAACCAGCTGATGAGTAAAACATGAAGCTTTCCGTTTGAATTGAAGTCTTCCTCAGTCGGCCTGAAGGGGGCGGTACCGGGTCACCCCACAGTCGGCCTGAAGGGGGCGGTACCGGGTCACCCCACAGTCGGCCTGAAGGGGGCGGTACCGGGTCACCCCACAGGGCTCAGCTGGAAATCTAACCGTAGAAGAAGACAACCATCGTCATGATGTAGAGAGGATCAACACCGGAACAGAAACGGATATTTACTGTATTTTAATGTTTTGTTTGTAGAAAATATAACATTCTCTACTTCCGGGTAAGGAAACTCGGTAAAGATTTTGAGCCGTAAAGTTTACGGTTGAATGTAAGCCTGAAATTAGGCGGGTTGTTTCGGTTAGCCGGCGGCTAACAGGCCTGCTAACAGCGGCTCCTCCAGGCCCCGCTACCCGCCTCAGTGCTGCTGTGGTTCGGATCTCCTGAAAGACATGGGCCGGGGAGACGCGCCCACGCGGTTCAGACCTCCCGTCGCACCTCCGGGTGAGGAGGTACCTCCACCATTCGACATGGGCCCTCCAGAATGGGGGCCCCCACCCCCCAGAGGGTGGGGTCCAATGGGGCCCCCTCCTCCCGACTGGGACCCAAGAGGACCTCCACATCCCGGCTGGGGCCCAAGAGGACCCCCACATCCCGGCTGGGGCCCAAGAGGACCTCCGCCTCCCGGCTGGGACCCAAGAGGACCCCCACCTCCCGACTGGGACCCATTGGGACCCCCACCTCCCGACTGGGACCCATTGGGACCCCCACCTCCCGGATGGGACCCAATGGGACCCCCACCTCCAGACTGGGACCCAAGAGGACCCCCACATCCTGGATGGGACCCAAGAGGACCCCCACCGCCTGGATGGGACCCAAGAGGACCCCCACCTCCCGACTGGGACCCAAGTGGGCCACCTCCTCCAGAATGGGAACGCCACCCTTACTGGAGACATGCCCCCCCTGGCTGGGGCTTGGGGGAACCACCTGATCCATGGGCATCAGAACCAGTTCCACCAGTCCTGCCTCCGAGTGTACCCCCACCTGCTCCTATAGGTCTTCCTCCTCCAGACCCAACAGTCCCCCCACCAGCGGTTCCACCTCCTGCCTGTGTGCCTCCATTCGGGTTCCCACCGTTTCCACCCACCGTTTGGACCGCAGAGGTGAGCCGTTCCGTGGTTCTGTGTCCTGGTTCTGCTTGATTGTTGGTAAACCCATGTTCTGAACCCAATGATTGTAAGGATTAGTTAAACCTGTTAATCTGAGGAACCTGATTTGTTGAACCCAGAGAGGTTCTGACTGCTGGACGTGACTGTTTCATTCCTAAGAGTTAAATGATGTCTCTGTTTGTTTTCAGCCCATTGTGGAGGAACCAATGCCAAACCCTCCTCCAGATCAGCCTGAATGGGTCAGTACCAGTGTGCTCTGGGTCCATGGGATGATCTGGGTCCATGGGATGATCTGGGTCCATGGTGGGATGATCTGGGTTCATGGGATGATCTGGGTTCATGGTGGGATGATCTGGGTTCATGGTGGGATGATCTGGGTTCATGGTGGGATGATCTGGGTTCATGATGGGATGATCTGGGTCCATGGGATGATCTGGGTTCATGGTGGGATGATCTGGGTTCATGGTGGGATGATCTGGGTCCATGGGATGATCTGGGTCCATGGGATGATCTGGGTTCATGATGGGATGATCTGGGTCCATGGTGGGATGATCTGGGTCCATGGGATGATCTGGGTCCATGGGATGATCTGGGTTCATGGTGGGATGATCTGGGTTCATGATGGGATGATCTGGGTTCATGATGGGATGATCTGGGTCCATGGTGGGATGATCTGGGTCCATGGGATGATCTGGGTTCATGGGATGATCTGGGTTCATGATGGGATGATCTGGGTCATGATGGGATGATCTGGGTTCATGATGGGATGATCTGGGTCCATGGGATGATCTGGGTTCATGGTGGGATGATCTGGGTCCATGGGATGATCTGGGTTCATGATGGGATGATCTGGGTCCATGGGATGATCTGGGTTCATGGTGGGATGATCTGGTTTCATTGTGGGATGATCTGGGTTCATGGTGGGATGATCTGGGTCCATGGTGGGATGATCTGGGTCCATGTTGGGATGATCTGGGTCCATGGTGGGATGATCTGGGTCCATGATGGGATGATTTGGGTCCATGATGGGATGATCTGGGTCCATGGTGGGATGATCTGGGTCCATGATGGGATGATCTGGGTTAATGATGGGATGATCTGGGTCCATGATGGGATGATCTGGGTTAATGATGGGATGATCTGGGTTCATGGTGGGATGATCTGGGTCAATGGTGGGATGATCTGGGTCCTTGGTGGGATGATCTGGGTCCATGTAGACAGTTCTTCAGAAGCTTCTGGTTCATTTTGTGTCTCTGTTCATCAGATCAAAGCTTTGATTTCTGCTCCATCTTCTGACTCCACAACCGTTGATGGTAAAAAAGTTCCTGAAACAACTGAAGTCATCACAGATCCAGCTCTGGACACTGCTCCTGTCCCCCCACCTGCATCCCCACCAAAACCAGTATCAGAAGCCAAGATATCTGCTAAAGCTCTGGGTCTTCTGGGAAAACGCACATTTGAAAGGTGAGCCTTTGTTGTGTTTCTGAGAACTCAGCTAGTCTGATACAGGTAATAGACTGATCCCGATACAGGTAATAGACTGATCCTGATACAGGTAATAGACTGATCCTGATACAGGTAATAGACTGATCCTGATGCAGGTAATAGACTGATCCCGATACAGGTAATAGACTGATCCTGATACAGGTAATAGACTGATCCTGATACAGGTAATAGACTGACCCTGATGCAGGTAATAGACTGACCCTGATGCAGGTAATAGACTGACCCTGATGCAGGTAATAGACTGACCCTGATGCAGGTAATAGACTGACCCTGATG